GCTGTGGTCCCAGCAAACATCAGCTGATACTAGAAATTAATATTAAATAAATTCTAACAACAGCTCCTCAAGCTTGAACATACTGCTGTTGTTTAGTGCGACATCCGCTGGGTTTCTCTTTCTGGCGCAAAGTGAGCGATAAACAAACGAGAGAAAAGCCGATCAGCTGATCATTGATCAGTTTCATGATTGAAGTTGCAACAGGAGAGGGAGGGGGAGAGAATGAGAGAAGAAGATGTAGCTGTGCAGCGTAACGAAAGAATAACTCCAGCGTTGTGTCTTTTTCATTGTAGCTGAAGTCCGGGACAAACTGTGTTCCTTTTCAGCTCAATACGAAACGCGTAATATTTTCTCTGAACACAGGACGATTCCGTCTTTTTACGGGACGGTTGGCAACTCTACTAACTAACCTTATGAATAAAATAAAGTTCACTATCAGTAACATCATAGCACCCACCTAGCTGTATAGAAACTCCATCATGCTAGCTAGTACGCAGTACGAGTTATTGTAACTGACTGTAAAAAGTCAGCACAACGAAAATAAACTCCACCTAAACTTGGTTTATATCTGACCCAGATAGACTGCAGGTCATAACTTCTTACCTAAAGTTCAGTTCACCTGACACTCGGACCGGCCCCGCCTCTGGTCTCTCCTGTTGCCTCCCCTTTCTCTCATCCACCTGCTGGACTCCACCACTTGATAATATTACTGAATCTGTGGAAGCTACGCCATAGCCACCACCAAGCAACTGAGTTATTTTTACACACCGGCCAGCATCTGGCCAATCCACCACCTTTCATTGTTTATACCGTTACAAAAAAAAAAAAAAAAAATCATCGGCCCACCGAACAAATGCCCAGTATGCCTGATGGCCAGTCCAGCTATGGTCGTGCCATCAGTTACCGACCCCTGATGTAGAGGAAGCAGAAGTAAAACAACAATAAATAAAGCCAACAACAATATAAAAACAATCCCACTCAATTCATGTCAGATTTAGATGATGTACGCTTAATGTGTGTATGTTTAAATAACAGGTAAATACAAGTTTTAGATTAGCCTTGTAACTAAAGATGTCTAATATTATAGTACTTCTACTGTGATTGCGTTACCTGGAATTCTCTTAAAAGCCCACACATGCGCACGCACGCGCACACACACACAAACACACACACACACACACACACACACCTGGTATTCCTGGGGAATAAAGTTGTCTATGATGAGCATCTGGAGCCGGAGTTCTCGGCTCAGCTGGCGGATATTCTCGAGGAGGCCCTCGATTTCTCTGTGATGCTCTTGCTGCAGATCTGCCATCTAACCGATAAAAAACAACAATGGTAGCAGATCAGTTTCTGCTAAACTGATAATACATCTAGCCACAAAGAGCTATTTGATTAAATCTGAATATACATGCCGCATACACAATTAATAATAGCAATACTTTAGTGTCTCATAATGGTGGCCCTTCTGTCCTGACAGGGAACAATTCAAAGAATAATGATCATTTATGGTGCAACCCTTTGTTAAACTTACTTCAGATTTGGCAGCCATCAGCATGGTCCATACTTTCTTCAGCTTCTTGGTCTTTCCTTGAGCCTCTTCCTGCAGGCTAGTATACTTCTCTTCTATATCCAAACGTTCTTGCTGTTTTAAGAGGGACGAGGTTTGTGATTATGCACGATCAAGGTACTTTTGCAAGCTTTTGTTTGGGTTTACAAAAATATATATATTTTGTGTGTATGGTAAAGGACATTATACCATCGAGCTGCAAGCAGGAACAGCCCCAAATAAACAGCAAAAAATCAAAATATCACTTTAAAAAAAGAAAAGAAAAGCTTTCAAACATCTTTAAATCAGACATTAAACTAAAAGGACGTGAGGTTTGCTAACTTTTATCTGAACATCGATCATAATCAATTTGCACATGAAAGTGTGTAGTATTAACTTCTAACCATATTTCCAACCACAGTGATGCAATAATTTCTCTAAAAAACAAGCAATGTAACTGTCAGCATATCCTGTCATCTCAGTGAAGCACAACAGGATAATGGTTAGCTATGAGTGGCAAAAGAGTCGCAATTTTTTGAAGCAAAATGTTGCCCAAAAATAAACAAAAAACCAAAAACAAATTGTAAAACTATTAATTTAGCTGGGTTTTTTTAAACCACTGGTCAGCAAACAAACAAGCATACATAAGAAATTCTCTCCAGGGTAACTGACAGATATGGGTTACAGGTTTAATTTTCAAATGTATGTGTTGCTTTATTGTGGTTACAATGTGGTAGAACAGGTAAAGAAGAATTTCCCAAGTGGTAATGCTGATTCATTATTGTGACATTACCGTCAACAGTGTGACTATCAGCTGCCAAACTTAGGAAAGGATGAGATAATGCATGAATTCAGTGACGTTATTTATCCGTACCTCTTTTTCCTCCAGTTCCCTCCGCAGCTGCTCTGCTCTCTTGCGACGCTCTTCGAGTTCATTGTTGGACTCCTCCAAAAGCTTCTCCTGCTCCTCAGCTTTGGCCAAGAGGTCCACCCCACCCACAATCACCTTCTTTTCTAAAGCCGACAATTTCTCTAGCAGGAGGTGATGCTCCTGCCTGACATTTTAAAAGGCCCACCAATTACCAAAATGAGCAAATACCACAAATGATTTTTAATCAGAAATAGAATTTGTTTTCTCTTTATTGACTCACTGGGCTTTAAGAAGGTCCTTCTCCCTCTTCTCAAGCTCTGCTCTTGCCTTGTTCCTCTCCTCCTCCTCCATGTCTAGCTTGGCCTCCAAAGCCTTTCTTTCCTCTTCAATCTTTGCCTGCATCTCCACCATCTTGTCTGGGGAAACCTTCTTCCTTCCTGAACAGACACACATAGGACAGCAAAGAGCCTTAGTGGTTGTTTAACATGCACGTGTCACTGTATAGGTATTGAATCATGTAAAGGCAGATTCATTCCTCTTTAACAATCAGCATTAGTATTATTTAATCTGTGCAGTTTCTGAGCAAACCTGTGGGTCTTCTGAATGAGTCCTTACAAGGGAATGCTAGTAGGATCCATGTGCATATGTTTCTAGCTTGCTAGTGCACAGTATTAAATAATCACTGTTAGTATATGCAAAACCTATGAATAAGGGAAACTATAAGAAATGCAAGGATGATATGGTGCTTATGAAAAGAGTAAGTATTAAGGGTGGCAGTCAGACAATGGACAAACAAAAATGCTAGCAGTGCTTATACAATCAGCAGTTATCCAATCAGTTAGTGAAAAGCTACTAAAGCACGTGTTGGCCATCTTGATCATTTTAAGTGAGCAAAAAACATTGTTTCTAAAGGACAGTTTGACCATGTAGACTCTTACACCAACCTCTTTCTTCTTGAATTAAGAGGTGTATAGCAAGTCAGACAGGCATCATTTGCACCAAAAGGAGGAGAAAGAGAAAGAGCAACACATTACAGGGTGATTCTGAAAGTCTTACATCTCTATAAATCGAAACAAAAAAAAATAAAAAAAATACAGGACATGGAGGAGTGGGTGGAAGACAAAATGCTGATGAGATGAGAGGCATTTTTAGTGATGCCAGTCATAAGACACAAAGGAAAGGAAAAAAACCCATAATGAAACATAATGTGGGTGAATTAGGTCTTAAAGAAATCACAATTTGAGCAGGTATAAAGTGAGGATATTGAACTGTCATGCACAAAAACTGATCATTCGGGTCATCTGTAAAGAAGAATAATAGAAAATATTCTTCAGATAACATCCACCTTTCACAAAGAGTTGACCAGCTGGGCAGATACCCCAAATTAATGGACGGAGTGGATTCAGGAATCTGCAGCACGAGCACCTTCATTCAACGGACAAACTTGCAATCAGTTTTATGGAAACCCTAACAAGGCCTGGGAGATGACAATGAAGGTGTGTGGAGCAGTTGGGAAGCGGGATTATGCTGTGAGCCTACAGGAGTGGCAGTGTGTCAAGGATAGTACAAAGCCCCTTTTCACACATGTCCTGTAATTCACAAACACCATGTAGAATTACCAAACTAGGATGAACACGCAAAAGATTGCATGCTTCCTTGTAATCCAGCAATGCAATCCTGATGCTAATTGTAAATATAATAACAAAGGAAAAAATAAAGGGGTTTAAGGCTTTCTCCATTACATCAACTAATCAAGGCTTTTAACACACAAAGAGGACATTAAAAATATATATATGAATTTTCACAAAAAATTGTGAAAATTGAGAAAATCTTCAGAACCCAGACAACTGCAATAACCATAGTGAAAAATAGTAGCAGGTAACTAGGTAAGCTGACCACTAAAGAGGAAATGCAACAAATTACTTGAGTCATTGACGGGACATCGAGGCCTTAGGAAATCCCCTAAAGAAAACCACCTACATCCACGGCATGAAGAAAAAAAAATTCTGTCTTTATTAGACATGACAGGTTGGTATTCAGCTTTCATTCATGCTCTTTTACAGAGCATAACAAGAAAAACTATAAACAGCATACAAGCCATTGTTTAATCTTTATTTTAATCTCCATTCGAAGAGTTGCAACAAGCTAATAAGGAAATACGGAGGGCAAAAAACTTTAAAAAAACTAGAAATATAGACTATATAATTACAGATCATATTTACTTTACCGTGAAACTGCTTAGGAGTATCTGTCTAAAAAGGTTACATTGTTTGGGGAAACTAAAATGGAAACAAGACTTGTCAAAGAACTGCGTCTAGTATTCATGAAAGCAAACAGCCAATAAAGCGCAAAAGTGCACGGCACAGCAAATGTATCTGTCTCATGTGTGAAAAGGGCTTAAATTTGTAGGCAGGTGGGTTGGTGAGCAGAGTGCTGCTCTAACTCACTATTCTGAGCTTTGTCCTCAGTGGACAGTGGCACTGCGGAGGCGCAGTCACAATTTGAACTGATGTTGTCTGTAAAGGAAAAGAGGAAGTACTATACCCAACAAAGCCCACAATGAGAAATAAAGAGTGAGAGATAAGGTCTAGCAGCGCTTGTTTTGCAGTTTGCGGGTATATCAACAGCAGCTCTGTAATGTGCACATACGCATATAAACAAACATAGCAGACGAGCTTACTCACAGCATACGGACAGTTTGGCTACTATTAATTTAGAATAGCTTCATACTATATCAAGTAGAAATGTCCCAGCTGAAAAAATGCACACACATCAATTTGAGAGAAAAAAAAATAGAACAAAGCATCAAGAAAACATCCAGCACTGCAACACATACCGAATTCATGAGTATTTAACACCTACTTTTTAAAAAGAGAAGGTGAGAATACCAGGGAAACTAAGAGGTCTTATGTTTAAGGAAGACTGTGAACATTCAAGCAACATCAAAGCAACCTCAGTGCTGACTCATAATAGAATTATGACAGTGATAAGGCCTAAAACATCTCTTATGCAGATCATCACTGTAAGCAGATTTAAAGGTTGAACGATCTGTGTGCTTATTCACAACTGTTTTTACCTCTTCTTCTCCTTCGACCATCTCCTGCCACCCCTCCTTCATCGTCACCTTCATCCATCTCCTCTGATGCACTGCCATCAGAGCCAGAGATCTCTTCACCTAGATGCGTCACAAAGTGGCATTTCACAAAGACGTGGTGTTAAAAATTATATGCAAATCAAAAAGTGCAAGGATTTCTTCAAGCTCTGGCTTTTTACCTTCTTCCAGCTTTTTCTTGAGCTCCTCGATCTCTTTCTGAAACTGACGCAGTAGGGCATCTTTAGGATCCTCGTTGATCCTGGCTTTGTTTTTGATGTTTTTAGCCCTATTGGCATAGCGAAGGGTACTGATGGTCTCATCATAGTTGTAGTCTGCAGGTCCTATATTTGCACACTGGAGGGAATTAAAGCGTTGCATTTAAAGAAGTGAGGCAAAAACTTTCAATTCAACACTTAAAATACTGTAAAAATCCCCCTCAATTTAAGGGTTAGTAGGCTTTTTAGTTAGGTCAGGAGTTAGTTGTTTTGTGGTGTTACAGCAAAACAGATCACCCAAAGTATTTTTCAAAAACACTTCTATGGTTTCAGCAAGAATTCAAGGTTTCTTTAATTAGAATAAATCCTTCCATCCTTGCAAAGACAACAGCACGTTGCTTCCCAAATTTAGCAGTACCATCATCGTTTTGGAGTTTCCACCGAGTGAATCCTGGAGTAGTCGGGTCAGTTTTGAGTTCCTGTAGGGAACGTGAGTGCTCTTGCCATCCACCAGGGCTGAGATGACATTACCCAGCGTGGAGAGAGACAGATTTATCTTTGTTGCTTCCTTTAAACGCTGACCTGTGGCTCCAGTCTTGCCCTGTCTTTCTGAGCCCTGTAAATAGCGAAAGTCTATATTTAATTAATGGCAATGAGGTGTATCATGGACTGTAAGAATATAGTACATACACCCAATATCAATATCATCTCCTTTAGTTTAGTAGTACAAGAGTACATACCGCAAGGTCAACCAGATGAAGTTTTCCCATGCGCACATGCTGGTTGCCGTCTACGCCCTTCTCGCTGCACTCGATGGTGATGGTAAAGATAGCATGAGAGCGCGAGCTATGTTCATTCATGTTTGTGGCTCCAACAGACCCTAAAAATACCACAATAGGGTTTGACCAGACAATATAATTACGGTGATAGATTCAGTAACATTAAAACAGAACCTGAAATTAAAACTTTGAAAATGTTATTTTTGTATATTTCCCATTTACTCTTTAGTAGTCACCATTTTCCCATTTACTACAAGTAGGGTGAGAGCCTTTTACTCTGACGTGTGGTTTTTAATCACAAGAGATAAATATCTCAGTTAGGAGGAATGAAGATCAGCATTTAGCTTTGTGGCATCTATTTCACTTTCAGTACTGCCTGTGTTCTGCTTACGGTTTTTGTGGCCCAGTGTCATGATCCTGTCCATATCATCAGCATTGTTCACAACGTAACCAGACAGGTCTTTTATGTACACGCCAACATCTGGTCTTTCTTTCACCTGTCATAAAAGAAAAAAAATCAACACCATAATGTTGAGAAGCTGCTGTCAGAAACACACTAGCAAAACACTGAACATAATCAAATTAATTTAGCCATCTTCTGGAAGGGTTCAGTTCAATTCAATTCTATTTAAAAATCACAACAGTCGCCTCAGGGCACTTTATATTGCAAGGTACAGACCGTGCAATAATATACTATAGTCATATACGGATAAGACTATAGTGTGCTTAATACCAACTTTATCTGAAAAGCTTTGCTAAAAGTTACTCATTGTAAATGAAGTGTTACCTCTAGCCTCTGCAGCTGGTCCTTTCCCAACAAATCCCGCACCTCTTCGTTGTAAATCTCCAGGTATGAAACACGAACTAAAAATCTGTGGAAGGTAAGTGCAAATCAGACACTAAGACTTCAAACTGTAAATTGTAAATATTTTACCTATAACAGTTTAGGTCAAAACCTTTAAGAGCTCTGTTTAGAGCCCTTAAAGGTTTGGAGCCTTTAAATAATTTGAATTAAAAAAAAAAAAAAACATTACATGAGCAATGCATTCAGAGTAAAAGATTCCATCTATGGGAATACCAGCTTCCAAGTTTTCAGCAAACAGCTCTTTGGGAATCACTTTACTGGTGCAAAAATGCTATCTATGGGAATGATTTCATTCATTTCATAGGAAAAAAATACTTGTTTAAAAGGCTTTTTTCCAAATATCTTTTGCTTTTAATATATGCACAAGCTCATTTAAACAAAACAGCAACACACAATGTCTCACACAACACAATATACTGTCCATTAGTTCTGTGTGACTGAGCATTGCAAAGTCCCTTTGTAGACATGAAATTCAGCTTGAAGTCTGAATGTGCACGTAGAGCACTTTTCTGTGAAACTCCAGTTAAAATCCCCCTAGGTCAAACCTAGTTGGATATTTGTATTACTTTTAACATGGTGCATGTCTCAATGTAAGACGTCACTTTAATGCACAGACATTCTACATTACAGTACACATCACTTTTGCACGCTAAAAATATGTAATTGTTTTGAAAAATCCCTTCAACAGCAATGACATCAGAAATTTAGGTGTGTGTTTAGGTCTGGTGTTTTACTGTCTTCAGATTAACGTGTGGTCTCAAAATCTTTACGCTCATCTGATGCTAAATAAAAAGAAAACTTGTTAAACCAAAACCGGTAGCATGGTGATTTTGACCCCATCTTGTAATGACAACAGTAAGGTCAAAGCTTTTCTAATTCTAAGTAATTAAGTTTTTAAGTATCTACGTTTTGGGGATTTAAGTTTTAAAAATAATTACAGATAACAAATATAATATCAATATGAGAATTCACTAATAAACAAAGATGACAACAAACAAGACAATAGCTAGCATGTCTGAATATTTCATTATTGTAGGAGAACATTATTAAGGAAAAGCTGACAATGAATTTTGGATAATATGTGGTATCTATAATGCTAAAATAAAGAGGGTTTTAAAAATAAATAAATAAATAAAGGGAGCCTTCGAGCCTATGAGACAGACATAAAACTGACCTCATAGTTGGCTACAACAATGAAAAACAAACAAACTGTATAACAGTAAAAGTTCATCACACCATCCACAACTGCACAGAGATCTGCATCTCTATTTCACACATCCATGTCGATTGCTAAACCCCAATTTTCACTCAGATTAATAGTCTCCACTCTGGAACCCCCCCCCCCCTGGTTCTCTCCACGTTCTGTCACACATTCACTGCTCTGACCCACCACAACAACCCATTCCGCCCTGCAATAATTATTAATCTTTTATCCAACTACACTCCCCTGTATATTGACTCATCAATTAAATATACCAACCAGCCTCAGCATCAAAATGTATGAAAATAATATGTGCTGCTGGGCAAACCAGCATCCCCTGACTGTTACTTTATATTTATTTCTATGGGGTCAAAATGACAGCCTTGGTGCCTCTACATGCCAGTGGTCACCTTTTTTTTTTTTTGTCCTTTTGAATAAAACAATTTTAAGAACTATGAGATGATGGCATTTTAATTTAACAGATTTACATGTACTTTTGAAATGACCTTCTTGTTGGGTCATTTAACAGGCTTTTCCCCCTTCTTCTTCTTTTTTTTTTTAAACACATGCATTACTCATGCATCAACACTTGAGGATAAACATCGCACTTCACCAAAGACTGAGTTTATGTGAAGCCAGTTACAGACATCCTCATTACACCTTTGACATACGCTACTGTGGCTTCTTGATAGCCACAATTTATAACAAGGCTTCAGCTAACCATAAATGGATCAAATGAAAGGGCAGATGAATCTCTTAGGTTGTGTGTCAGGTCTATACTAGTTGCCAGGTTTTTGGCTAACAGCTGTTTGGGAATCACCTTGCTGGTGCAAAAATACTATTTTATGCCTGTCAAACAGTGTTATCTTTGGCTTTTGCGTAGACTAAAGAAATGGAAACAAACTATGCATTTTTGTGACAGTGCTGCTACTAACAAAAGTCCTAAAGATGTAACTTGTTCTTTGCCAAGTTGTCTGCAATTGACTGGATCAATTGTGTGTAACTGATTGTGGTCTTACCTTGTGTCACCCTCTGCCTTGGCAATGTGCCCAAAGATATGAGCAAAGGAATTTGGGATTATCCCTCTGAGCCCTGGCACCGCTCTCACACCCTCCATTGTGAAAGTTTTTCCTGTGCCAGTCTGCCCATATGCAAAGATTGTGCCTGAAATGGACAGAAGAAAATTACTTCAAATAATGCATGTGGAAAATAAGAAAGAAGAAAAAAAGGCAAAGTTTACAATCAAATAAAGAGAACAGCAATGGTTTCTTAATTTGAAAAAGCAATGTGTATAGTCACATTAAATATACCATTGTAACCCTCTAACACTGAGTCAATGATGGGGCGGGCTGTGAGATTGTAGACATCCAGCTGTTTACTGTCAGGACCAAAAACAGTGTCAAAAGTAAAGGTCTTGGGAGGTTCGTGGGGGGTCTCCAGCTTGTTGACTGTGATGGTCCCACGCATCTCATCCACTACGACGGCCTGTTTGTGGCCCATCGTCGTCTCTTTCTGGTTGAGGGGACGACATCTCACCACGACCTTAACGTTATCGCTGACCTCCTGCTTCTCAGGCTTATGGCTCTGAAAAAATAAAGGACCACAATACCATAATAAAGACAGTTATTTCTAGTACGTAGCAATAATTTTTATTTTACGAACATGGATATAAGGGCAGAGCTGTCAGGTCGATTCAGTGGAGCTAGCTTATTAGTTTGGACTAAATCTGAGGGTAACATTTGTAGAAGCTAGCTAACGGTGAGGTTATGCTTGAGTTACCTGCTTTGCATTTGCCGCTAGCTTTTTTTTTTGCTATGCAGGAATACGCTTGGACTGGTAACATAAATGACAATGCTAGCTAGCAAGCACCACTCAAGAACACCAAATCTGAGGTGACACGCAAAACCCAACGTCGGAAGAGTGAGTCTGCGGGGTTTTTTTGTATCCTACAGCAACAACAACGGCTAGGCTAGCTGTGCTAACCGGTTAGCATCACATCAGCAGAGGAAGGGAGGAACCCAGTTTGCAAACAAAACAAAAATGCAAACATGCGTGGGGACTTACCGGCATAGTGATAAGGCCGAAATGCAATTACAGTGCACGTATAGTAACAGTAAAATCTTTTCAAGCCTTTGTTCATTTGACTCTGCGTTATCCGAAGCATTAAAATACCAAAGCTATGCCCATATTACCAGAATCTCACAACCGATCGCTTGTTGTCAGGTCTGCTTGCGCATGCGCTAGCCGGTCGTCACTGGCTCAGTCAGCTGCAGTTTAATATTAAATGACATCGGGAATTTAATGTTACGGAGACAAATACAGTTGGGAAATATAGGGAAATATTTTGTTGTAGAGTGATTCACTACACACACACACACGTCTTTATATCTTTAAATAATACCATCTGCTTGCCCAGCAATGTTCCCTCTAATTTTTCATGTGTCTAAGCGAACACACAAACTCCCTGAGTGGACACTTGGATCACTGTGAGCAACAGCAGATGTGTGAATCCATCCAAGTTACATGGTTTATTAAAATAATCAAATTACAACATTTATGTTAGACTACTTTTAATTAACTGCTTTAACCCACTTACAATGAAAATTAAAAAAAAAATCTTGTTCATGACCTATGTAGTTTGTTAACACTATTGGAAGTAAAAATAATAATAATAATAACTTGAACTCCAATTTTGAAAACACAACTTTCTTTTTTATTTTATTTTATTTTATTTTTTTTATAAAGCTCTGACTTGTATTATGAGTATGAGTCTGTGGTCTGGGAGAGAGTCCTGTAACTCTCTGTCTGCAAAATACAGTATATAATGACCAATGTTGGGCAATTATTTATATAGTTACTTCTTCAAAAAAGTAAAAAGTTGTTTTTTTTTTACCTAAAAAAGCAGCCAAGGCAGTTTTTTAAATAAACATTTCAAACTATTTACAGAGCAATCAGGTGTTCTGCATCAAATTTGATGCCACACAAATTATTTGTGCCACTCCAAAAAATAATTTCTGTCCACTATGAGATAAAGGAGAACAACAGCCTGATACCTGCAGGCCTGACAACACCTGTAACTTTCAGCAGTCGCCTCATTGTTCTGACACACACAACAAAACTACTGACTACACTACACACTAACTACACAAGATTTGCGCTAAACATCGCAAATCTCTCACATTTCAAAACACCACCGTCACTCCTAAAACTTCCCTCTTCCTAAACAACTAAATGCCTTGTTGCCATATGATTTTTTGATTGGTCGACATGGTACATTTTTCGACCAATAGGAAAGGGTGGATTTTTTTGGGGTTTTGTTTTGTTCACAGGCGGAGAGTGCTTTCGAGCGTTTTCCTTATCAAACGCCGTTTTTACCGTTTCTTCCGCAGTAAATATAAACAATGATAGTATTCAGGAAGAAAACCAAACATTGCATATATTTTTATCATAACTCTGGTTTTACGTGGCCTATCAACACAATTTAAAAACTGGTATAAAGTCCACACTTTTTCCGTCAATTAATCCGTTTGTCCTGCTCACATCTCCAATGGTTGTACACGTTGTCATTAACGTGGCTTCACTCCACATCAGCCGCTTTGCTAGCTAAAACACCGGTGTCAGCACATAAGGACGCTGTCATAGCCTGTCAACGATTAGCTGCGTATATATACGAATGTGAATCGCATCATTGGCTGGACTATGGGATAAGGTGGCATCGTTCTAATCCCATACGGGAGCAGCCAGTCACTTAATGACTAACACTGCTAAACAGAATTGTTAAAGTTTTAATTTTAATTTCAATTCAGGTTAGATTTTTTTTGTGCGCAACGCAGATTTTCTGTGCGCAGAGACCGTGCCAGCAGTGCGCAATTGCGCACGCGCGCAGCTTAAAGGGAACATTGTGCCCAGTATCAGCTTACACTTCATCTATAATATGGAAGGAACTGGCTACATTGTATACATATATTTGGGCAAATAGTGCATAAATTTCCCTTTGTGCAGTAATGTCCTCACTGTTTTGGAGGGTAATAAGTTGTCAGGAGTGGGTACTGAGATAGGCCTTCCAGGCTATAAAAGCAGGTCCAGATAAACTGCTCATGGATCTATCTTACATGCCACTTGGCATTAACCCTGTGTGGTGTTTGTATTTGTTACATTTTTAATTTTACATTTGTTGTATATGTTAGTTGTTTTTTTTTTTTATTAGAAAATGTCCATGGCTGTCAAGGCTTTAAATTTCCCTAACCCAAGTTTTTTGGGACACAAGATAGTGTCTAATTTTGGCTTGGTTATTACATTGTTAGGATAGTAATAGTAGCGCTATTTTTTGTTTGGTTTACAAACATATTAAATTCTTTTAGGATAAGTAGAGCCGCACAAATGTCCCTTTGGTAGACTTAGGTAGGCAAACCAATCTGTTTTTCATTTTAATGTGGCAAAGAACATAGCAAAAGATAATGTTTTGGAAGTATTTCCCTATTTACCAGAGAGATACCATTTTATGGTTGCCCTTTATGCCAGTGGAATCAGTGTATCTGCCTGAAGACTAGGGTTGAAACTAGTCTGGAATGGTTAGCTCATTAGTTGGGCCTTTTACTTCACCTTTGAATTTTCAGAAGTAAATACACTGGTGTTTGTCCGTGGGTTTATGGCCTTACAAAATCTATGGCTAGTCTTTAAAAAACTGAATACCAACATATCATATAGCATGATATGTTGGTATTCAGTTAGTTAAGCAATGATAATAATAATACCCCACCTCTTACCTTTTGACAGCTGGGATACACTTCAGTTTCCCCAAGAGCCTGAACTAGATAAGAAGAAAAAATGGATGGATTACTGATTGTGTAGGCATTTTTTTTTTACAGATAAACAAATATAGATTTTGTGTGGTATCATCTAAACTATGATCTAACTATCATAAACTGACACTTTGCTCAGTCCTAAAATGGAAAATTACCTTAATTGACAGTTTATCCTATGTCAACAGTGGAAATTTCCTTTAGACCTAAAACAAAATTGCTATCATGCACACTCTATTGTGTGTCATCAGTGGATAATTCTTACATTCAGTTTATTTTAGTCTACCCTATATGAAATTCACTGATGTAAATCCCAGAGCAGAAATTTCTGATTACATCATATCCTCAGCATTTGTGTCATATTGACACTAGTGCAATGCTTTGTGTGGTAAAAATGACTAAACAACTGCTACACCAACACGAAGAAATACATTGTGATTCTATACAATTTGAACAGTATAAGAAGATGGATGGATGGTAAGTAAATATGTAGATAAGTAAATAAATAAAAAGTAGATACTGTTGGAGCATTTTACACAACTGTGTTCTGAGTCAAAATCAATCAGCAGTCTATAAAAACTACTATGACTAAAAAGTAAATGCACTTTTTCTGTTTGCTGACATCATTTGACAGTCATATGGTTACTTCATTAGCCTTGTGTCATTAAGTGAAGTCCCTCACATTATTTTTCTTTGAATACAGTTCAGAAGGTCTTGTTTTTTGTTTTTCTATCTCTATTTTCATCTCTTTTGTGGTTGCTCTAGCTGTTGTTGCAAGAACTGACATGCATTTTGCCTCCACCATGGTTTAAATCCTGCAGTGTTTTTGTTTTTTTTGCTCAAAAATGATCCGACTTTAAACTTTGAAGAAAATTTAACTCAAAAGGAACACAAAAAGTGCACTTTTGATGCTGCAGCTCACCACCAGCCTTCTGCTGTGAAGTCTGTGTGGTGTGTATAATCCATATATAATCTATTTTGTCTGACATCTAGCACATTTCTGTTTAGAGAAATGCAGTTTTTTTATTACTGTTTGTCGCCACAGACTGATAGTTGTCTGTGCATGTCTTCTAGAATCAGTGCTTCTGCGAGGTACCTGTTTATTTTTAACCAACTGTTAAAAGCCTATCAGGGCTATACATGGCAATTTTAAAGTCCTGGACATTGATACTAGAAAACACTGTCCAAAACACTGCTCTTGAACTGTACATGTATGTTTTTTGTACAGATATCATATTTTTAGCTGTATTAAAATAGTAGACAGTTGAAATATTCGCTCATCGAGTCAGTATTTGCTTTTTATTTTTCAGAGTCAGAAACATTTTGAAAAATAAATAAATAAAACAATCTGTTAAGCACCACCTCATCTTTTCCGCCTGACCTCTTTATTTGTCTTTCACTGTCTATTGATCAAAAATGAAAATTCAGTGATAACTTGTGCTCGGTACATGGGTATATCCTCTGCAAGACATCTTCTGCGCTGTAGCTCGGTGCTAGAAAAAAAAGTAGAGAACAAGAATCTTTCTGCTGCTTTCTCAGGTTATCCAGGAAGTGAATATGAAGAGCATGCATTTTACTTGACATAAACCAAGAACAAAGATCTACCTCCCTTGCCTGTAAAATTCAGTCATAAAAGAAACCTGCACAGCAACAACGATCCTGAGGACCTGCTGCAGGAGCAGATGGTCTGTGCAAAAGTTAGCCTGTGCTGTTGCCATATTTTTAAAACAGTAAATACATAGAAAATTTATGAAACAGCTGCAAATAGCTTTTTTAAAATGCCTTTTAAAGCTTGCCTCACAGCAAGAGGTTTGAATCCACCATCTGGCTGGGCCCTATCTGGAGTTTGCATGTTCTTCTTGTGTCTGCATGAGTCTTCTCTGGTTAGTCCAACTTCCTCCCACAATCTACAGACATACAGCTCGTGGGGTTCGGTTAACTGGTAGATTTCCATTATATCATAAATCAAAATGGGCATTTCCTTCAACTATAAAATGGAAAATTGTGTGCACTTACTATATGAGTACATATGCATGCTGCTCTATTGGTTAGTCAAAGGTTTTACTCATATGTTGGGTTACTACAGTTGCTAGGGAGTGTGATGATGTCAGAGGATGGATGTCAGCTTCAATCAGGAATGATGAAAGTTTAGCATGATATGATTCTTTTTATCAGGGCTTAGGTGCACAGCTCCTACAAATAGGTCATTTTACCCCATAAATAAGTGGTTGCTAGGGAACATGAGGTCCTAATATCTAATATAGATAAGAACCTTCCGGGGCCTAATATGTATCTGTGTTCTCATTTTTGTTGCTCAAACTCAGATTGCAGTGGTTGTTGAGGTTGTTTTCTGTGTTAGTCCTGCAACAGGCTGGCGACTTTAGTTTTGAGTTTACTTATAAGCATCATGATCAGTGTCACATCTGAGACCAGAATTTTTATTTTATTTTATCAGTCTCTAAAACAGTTTATAGTGTTGCTGTGCAGAACTTTGAATGGGGAGAAGATGACTCACTTTGTTAAATGCTTGTTGCCTTAAAATCTCAGAAGCAAGGAGAAGAATCTGAAAAATTAAGAGAGGGGCTTGTCTCTGCTCTTTCCCCTCTGCCTAACAGGACCTGTTTTTAAAAAGGTACCTTTTTTGTTAATTAACAGAAGCTTACTTAAAAATTTCTTGTATTGATATAGCTCCAGGATTAAATGTACAGTTAAACCTCTGCACAATGACAGAAAGGAGAATTTAAATGGTCTGGCTCACTTAAAATTAAAGTGGGCTGTATGTGGCCCACAATGTAACATGAATCCCTGTTCTACACCTGTGTTCTGCAGAGATTCCTCTGGGCTTAAAGGGTGTTTTTAAAATCTCCTCAGTCTTGGAAAGTTCTTGCTTACAGAGCACCAGTGGGTTTCTCTCTTTAATATTGAAAGGTTTTTACCTTATGAACAGATGACTGTTATGAATTAGTAGTACATGAATATAGTTGAACTGAACTGAACTAGTGTGCCACAAGAAAGTTGCAGTTAAAATCCAGGCTGCAAAGCAAGGTTTACATATAGAACAGGTCACTACCAAAGTAACATGCTACAATACGCTACTGTTGTTTCGTATTGTTGATTTCAGTTCTATGTCTGAAAGATGACATGAAACTACTGATGTCAAGGAAGTATACTTTATTACCAGAAAGGTATTTCACCTCATAATTTCTGTAATTATGTACAGATATAGTTAATACTTTCTTCATGGGTTTTGACAAAGGCACTCACAATGCGTGTAATATGGGTATAAAATGAGGAACAGTCGTTAAGTGTTTTTTTTTTGTGTGCAAAATCTTGTAATAGTACATGTGTAAACAAACATGCATGGACATTAAAGGACGCAACAAATATTTCAAGAGAATTTACCCATACTCTAACTCAGAACAAAAATAAACACCTTCCACCTTCCAATTGTCGTTTGGCAGCATTAACCTTTGCAGCTCTAGGCGCCTCACCTGGTCTATCAAGTCACTTGGCAGTTTTAAAACATGGTATTTAGAAATATACATAACTACAGAAGGAATGCACGGTCAGCTGAGGCGTTCGAGGGATTGAAGAATACTGCTCTGGAAAAATCCTGTCTGCCCGCTGCTCTCCTGAGTAACGAGAACCCGCCCATCAGGTCGCGGTCTGTGGACGAGGACAAGCTCTCCTTGAAGCAGACTGAACTCTGAGTCTGTTTGGGCTAAATGTGTCGCAGTAACTCTGTGTCTGTGGGGGGGAAAAAAAAAAATCAGTAATGACTTTCAAGTCTGTATGATCAATCACTGCTCCAAACCCATAAATCCAACGTACCTACTTGGGCTGAACTGTGCTGACACAGCTGACAACGTCGGCTGTGAGGTCGTCGGCTTCTGGTTAGTATAAAAATCTGTCATGGCTGTTTCAAGCCCTTTACGGAGAATAGGACCTTTTCCATCTTTGAGGATAATCCCAGGTCCGTCCCTTCCCAGTGTGAGCGATGGGGCCCACACTTCTAAAGGAAGGGGCCCGGGTCGGCTGTTGGAGAGAACCTGATTTCCTGACGACCAAGAGGCGGTCCGATGTCTTGGGGGAGGGGAGCCTTCATTTGTGACAAACCGCACAGACTTTGCCGGCTATGGAAATAAAACAAACTGTAAATCACACGAATAGTAGCGTGATTTAAGTATAAGTATATATATGCAAAAGCAAGATCAACTGTAATGGCACTGATTTCATAAGAATGGCATTACCTTCTCTGTACTGGTCTTGTGCATGTCTGGCTTTATTAGAATTGACTGAGGGGTAGTGCTGACCCTGTCCTTCATGAATACAGCAGAAGAGGGCGCTGCTGGATCAGTCATCCAACCCAGCGGTACGTTAGCATTGGATACAAAGCTGCTGCCCTTCTTCCTCTGCAGAGCAGGCGAGTAGCCAGATGCCTGATGTTGTGCAAAGTGCTGCGAGTTGGAGGGAACGTGGGAACTGCCCATGTGGGATGTGCGATTTGAGCCTGAAAAAAATAAATAAAAGATCGTCACATACCTGACAAAGTGCAGAATTCAAACAAGCCAAGAGAGTGTGGTTGTTTGACACTCGCCTCTGTGTGGGTGAAAAATGCGCCTTACAGTCTCCCAACCCTGTGAATCCCCGTAGAAGGAAGGTTTTCCAATCGCAGTGGGCGACATTGCATGGTGTGCTCCGTTTGGCACAGATGGGATCTGTCCTGGTGAGTATATCGCTCCATCACCATTCACCTTATCAAGAGCAAGGAACACAGTAGGGTTCTTGGCAGCTGTGTGTTTCTTTGCAGATAAAGTGCTGTACTGCGAGGGCACATTAGGTGCTTTGTTCTCCAGCAGTCTGGCCGAGGTTCTGTATTTTGGGAACATAAATATTAGTATAGTGATAGTGATGAATGTCTACTTTCACATTGTTGCTATATATGACAAAGAAAACAGCAGCAGGCTGTGACGTGCAGCTTTATATTTCTGATTCATAAATAAGTGTACAAAATAGCTCATCTTCATGCCCACACTATGTTACTATCTGAACCCAAATAGCATTGAGCTCCCATTTCCTGCGGTCAGCGATCGCAACCTCTCACCTGAGCACAGGAGTGACGTAGTTGCTGGGAAGAATGCCCACTTTGCCTGTTCTCAGCGATAACCCACGCAGCCAGCCTTCTTTGAATGTTCCGTACACGCCCACCATCTCCCCTTTCCTCAGCTCCAGCTCCTCCGGTCGGCGTGGTTTGTAGGAGTAGAGGACGGCACACCTGAGAAGTCAAAAACAATATACATCCAGATTATTCAGCCCTTTTTTGGCCATATATAACTGTTTCTTATTCTATTCACACCTCATAAATGTGATTCTACATTATAATACCATTAACACACCATGACTTTTCAAAACAGTGACTCACACACTGATGGAGAGCTGTTGTGTGGAGGAGTTTTTGCCGTCTGCAGAGGCAGAGGGCATCTGGGGGTTCATCAGAGCCATAGAGATGGTGGGCGGAGTCTCGCTGGTCATTTTCTTCTCGCTCTAAAATGAGATAAATTCAAAATTATTATATAGGAAGCAAAGGACACCTCATGGTACATCGTTTATTATTCATCCCGTAATCACAATCCCAGCAAACTTAACAGTGTGGGCCAACAGTGGGTAACCAGTGGGGCTGGATTTCTATGGTAAATGGACTTGTTCTTATTTGTGCTTTTCTACTCTGTCTGAGCACTCAAAGCGCTTTATACAACTAATTCATTCACCCAATCACACCCATTCACACAAGCACTTTTTTCTGACCTAAGTGCTAAGTAGTCTACCATTCATACATACACATTCACACTCCGATGGATGCATCGGAGAGCAACGCGGGATTAGTATCTTGCCCAAGGATATTTGGCATGCAGACTGGAGCAGCCTGGGATCGAACCACCGACCTTCTGGTTAGTGGCTGACCTGCTCTGCCACCTGAGCTACAGCCACCCCTACCCAGCCACCCGCAACCTAGAAATCCAATATAATGACCCCATAGGGCTAGAAGTGCTGTCGGCACCGTTTAGGCACTCACAACTGGGGCCTGCTTGGGATAAGTGTGGGCTTGCCCTGCCAACACAGCCCCACAGTTCACCCACACCTACCCAATGTGAGCCCGCATAGGCATGTTTGTTGGCACATTAATAAGGAAATATCATACAGGGAAATGTGACCGTTATGGAAATACTTAAACGACAGAACATATTCTATTATGTGGTCAGAAATATGAGCCTGGGAAAAACCACCGATTCAAAATGGAAGTTAAACCGATCGTATTAAAATACTGCAAAGGAAGTCAATTAGTGAAAGAAATCAGGACCTATTCCATTTTCTAAGACAGATTAAATTTTTGGTAGAATTAGATTTTTTCGGTCTTTTATCCCAGCAAGTGGCTCCATAATAAAGTGGGTTATGTGTTATGACTAAAAAGCAAAATGTCCCTGATTTGGGCTTGGAAAGCTAGTAAGGGAATCTGGTGTAAAAAACTGCTAAATCGTCTATGCAATGATCCCTATTGATAAAGAAGTCACTAAAAGTAGCAACACTCTGGTAATAATGTACCACAGAGCACATCTGGGCCCCAGTAGGACAGCCCACACTGTGTGGGCATACCGTGGGTAAGATCAGGCCCACAATGGGCCCCACTGTGGGCCTCTCTTTGCCAAATTTCACACTGATACTGTGGATGTGTGGGTTTGCCCACAGCACCCCCTCACATAGGCCCCAAAGAGGGCCGCTTGCTGGGATGGCTGTCTATACTGAATGCAATTTTAATTCACAGAACAGTTTAATGTCGACAATGTGGTAAACTGATCAGAAGAAGGATAATTTACTCGATTTTCTATTTTAGAATGTTTATTAACAGTACAAAAACTTTAGAATGCTGATTTTTTTTTTATGAACAATGGCAAACATGTAACATGATCAAAGCAAAGACAAACACTTTTAAAAGAATAAAGAGTTTTTATCTGCACAGACCCTGATCTCTGAATGTATTGTCTTAATTTCTTCTGATTTTGTTGTGGTCAGCGTGTAATCCTGACTAATAACAGCCAGAGTTTATAAGGATATAGCAGCCAGGTTACATTTCTGTCTCCAGCTCTCTGCTCTGCTAATCTGCGTCATGGACGTATAAAATAATGGACTCAAGAGGTGCACATCAGTGTGTTTGTTTGACTGGCCACACACACGTTGGCTGCATTCACACAAAATTTTCCAAGGTAGTGCCTTTCCGCAGGGCTGTGCAGAGGTGTGGGCCCATTTATTTCTCATGCTTTAGAACGTTACAGCTACGATGCAATCAGGAAATAACGTTTGATTTTTCTAAATCTCTGCTTTGTTCTGCTCAACACCGCTCCCTCTTTCGCTCGCTCCCCCGTTGAGCCAGGGAGGAGAGGTTTAAATGTTGTTGTGTTGTTAAACAGCAGCCTACGCACTTTGCTTGTTATGCCTTTAAGACAGGCATAATGGCACGTGAGCCTTCTGATAATATAAAGCAGTATTATGTAACTTTTACGCCTCCAACGCCTCATTTTTGGGCACTACGTAATATGGATGAGAGGGTGTGAAGGTGCATTAACAAAGACCTGCTGCCATAGCTCACCACACACAAGGCTCTGCAGCAGGGGACCGATGTAAAAAGCTGAAGATATAAGAGTGTGCATGGAAGCAGGAAGGGAGGGTGGCTATCAGCTGAGAACCTTTTACTCAGGCACCTTTCACTAAGTGGGGAAAAAAAAAAGTAGCTCTGCATCACAAAAGTTGAGTGCACAACAGGAGCCGAGGACGTGTTGAGCTTTGTTCGACTGGCAGCCAAGCTGCTACTCTCTTTTTGCAAGCTGACACTCCTAACACTAATTTACCTGTTGTTGTGTATAGTAAATTGCTGGTTTGTATCTAATACACCAATACGCCGGCTGTGTTAACTAAATATCAACTCATTTGCCCAGACATCGGCAAATAAGTTGACATTTGGCGTATCAGTGGTGGATGTTTATCTCTTGCGTCAAATCAGTTTGTGCCAAGTGTTCAAAGAGAGTGTGATTAAAAGCTAAATCATTCATGACTTTGGTATGTTGCCAGAATTTCACAATCGGTTCATTCCAAGAATGCAGCGCATTCAGTCTCTACATTTCTCCTCATTTCTTTAAGTTTCTCTTTTAATCTGTCACACGTTTGCACATAAGAAATGATTCATTGGATTTTCCTCTGAAATTCTTAGTCATACTTTGAAAAATGTAAACATAGACTTCTTTTGCAGTGTATCTTTACAGATCAAAGCTTCTCTACTTAAAGCTTAGAGCAAAGAATATTTTACAGTTATGAAATCAGCAGGATGTGAGTCAAACAAGGCTTTAATAAGGTGTGTTAGGTTAACCTTTATAAAGCCTGGCCTGTGTGCTGCTTTTTTTCCCCTTTAATCAAACACATTAGTCTTTCTTACTTAAAACAAAGATGCAGAAATAACATTGCTGCGCCCATCTTCTCTGCTGATTCCTGCTTGTATTTACAGCATCACCACTAAACTGCTGCTCGGAACTTTAACGATAGCCTTTGGGCTCAGAGTTCCTGCTATTACAGTATGCGGCTGGATGTTGCAGCGCTCTCACACTCTACGCTGCACTTGCACTGTAACTCAACAGCACAAAGACAGATGCATCTGACAGACGCATCCAGCGCTGTAACCGCAGTCTCGCTTTTTTAAAGGCAGCGCTGTGAGGCAGAAGTAAAACGTGTGAAAGTAAGGTTACGTGCACCGATTCCTGAGGACACGACAGACTTCCATCATATGTGAGCGGACACGAATGAGCATCTCTGTCATAAAGAAAACAACCATGTTTTTAAATGAATGAAGAAGCAGTAAACATTATATTTGGACAAAAAAAAAAAAAGAAAAAAGATGCAAAGCACTGACAACAAAGAATAACTTAATGTCTTAAATTATTCATCTCTTTCATGACTTTGTGTCCTATTTCTATTCTTAGGTTTTTATTTTAGCCACAAAGAGCCGGCTTTATTTATACTGCAGTCACGCTATGGCCAGGTGCACTGACCCAGCAGCCGCAGCGGCTAAAGGATATCGAAGGATACTTACACAGAGAAACTAACTCTGATATTAGTCAGGCAAAAAATAAAGTCTTATTTAGAGTGAAAGGTTGGCTTGCTCCTACAGTCTGAATCCTGCTAGCACAAACAAGCGTATTAATCTAACAGGATATTAATCTGTAGCTTTTTGCCAACATCCTTTGACTAAACTAAATAAATGAATGAGCTCTTGTGAAATATTATGATGAAAAAATATAAATAGTTCAGCAGTGAGGTTGCAGACGTAGAAATCACGTTCATATTTTCGACTGGGATTTTGATAACAAGCTTTAATCTCATGACCGTCCAAAGTATGTATGAGCTACTGTGTGACTTTGTGAAATAACATCAGTAAAGTCATCAGCCTTGTTTTAACAAAAGCACATTTTATTGCCATGTTGTGGAAAAGAACTACTCTGCCTTGAAATAGTGTTGTTACTATGGAAATACCTGAACTCCAGGTCGCTTTGTAAGAATAATGAGGAACTAACTTCTGGAGCCCTTAAAAACAATATATTTTATTATATTAAAAAAGGCTTTTTGTTATAACTACAACCTGTATCTTCTGAAATGATCATTTTACCGTCACAAAAGCAAACACTACCAACACCACGTCATAATGTGTGTCTAGAAATTATGATATGAGGTGAAAACATTCACAAAAGCTCTGACTGGGCAGGTGTTTTCAGTTATTATGGATAATTAAGACTTCTAGTCAAGCTGAAGCTGGTTAGCGGATATTACATGATGCTTAACTGTGATCAAAAGGTGCTAGGCCTGCACAGAATCAAAAAACCACCAAACAGCACATGACACGTTTGACTTCTATCCAGCTTGATCTCGAGTCACCGTGGCATCACGCCGACATCATCAGGAATTACCTCGCGGGATCACTTGCAGCTGCACTTTTCTGAGGTTGCTCTCCACTCACTGCAACCCCACGCCAAGGGCACGATAGAAGGCACGGGGCTTTTCCCTCATCCAACCAGCTCAGATGTGTGACGTTGTTACGTCTTCTGCGTCATTTTCAATATTAACATTTTATTTGTTAAAATGGCACTATTCAAGTCTATTTTTTTCCTGCTAAAAATTATTAATGAGGCCAAAAAAAGATTCAAAACAACTGCAATTTATAATTAATTTAAAGAGACAGAACTGTTGTTTAAACATGTGAAGACATAAGATCTGTGCAGACTGATTTCAAACCTCATTTGATTGATAGATTTGATTGATTTATTGGTCTTTGGATTTTATTTCGAGTGTTTGTTGATGAAGTTTATATGTATGACATGTTGGGAAGTATAAACCCTGTCAACTCATTATCATGGATATGTTCTCTTACATGTTTATGGTTATGGAAAAGTTTTTCAATTGGGTGAAAAGAAGAATAACCTTGAACGCAGCTTTTGTCCCCCACCCCA